TCCCCACCGGAAGCGCAAACCCGACGGAGCCGACGGAAAACTCGGGAAAAACGCGGCTGGAAGAGGCGTCCTTCTCCAGCTTCGTCCCATCCCATCCCATCCCATCCCATCCCACCCCAGGGATTCCCGTCCGTCCATCCCCGCATTCCGCAGGCTCCGGAAGCGGCTCCCGCGCCTTAAATCCACTCTTCCCTACGGAGGCCGCAGGATAAATGCCCCTTGGAATTCCCTGTTGGAATTCCCTGTTGGAGATCCCGGTTGGAAATCCCGGTTGGAAATCCCGGTTGGAAATCCCAACTGGAATTTTTGTTGGAATCCCAGTTGGAATCCCCATTGGAAATCCCAGTTGGAATCTCAGTTGGAATTCCCGGTTGAAAATCCTGGTTGGAAATCCCAGTTGGAATTTTTGTTGGAATCCTGGCTGGAAATCCCGGTTGGAATCCCAATTGGAATTTTCATTGGAATTCTCAGCTGGAATCCCCGGTTTGAAATCCCAGTTGGGAATCCCAGTTGGAATCCCCAGTTGGAAATCCCAGTTGGAATCCCAATTGGAACTTTCATTGGAATCCTGGTTTGAAATCCCGGTTTGAAATCCCAGTTGGAATCCCCGGTTGGAATTCCCCGTTGGAATTCCCGTTTTACCCCCCGGGGCTCCCGGCACGCTCCGGGTCTCCTTTTCCCGCCGTGCCGCCCGCGCTCAGGGAACGGATCTGAGGATCTCCCCGCCCCACTCCCTTTCCTGGGAAAACCCCTCCTTTTCCCAGGAAAACCCCTCTCTTTTCACAGGAAAACCCCTCTCTTTTTCCCAGGAAAACCCCTCTCTTTTTCTTGGGAAACCCCTTCTTTTCCCAGGAAAACCCCTCTCTTTTTCCCGGGAAAACCCCTCTCTTTTTCCAGGAAAACCCCTTCTTTTCCCAGGAAAACCCCTCTCTTTTCACAGGAAAACCCCTCTCTTTTTCCCGGGTAAACCCCTCTCTTTTCCCAGGAAAAACCCCTTCATTTCCCGGGAAAACCCCTCTCTTTTCCCCCAGGAAAACCCCTTCTTTTTCCGGGAAAACCTCTCTTTTTCTCCTGGGAAAACCCCTTCTTTTCCTGGGGAAAACTCGTTCTTTTCCCAGGAAAACCCCTCTCTTTTTCCCGGGAAAACCCCTCTCTTTTTCCCGGGAAAACCCCTCTCTTTTTCCCGGGAAAACCCCTCTCTTTTTCCAGGAAAACCCCTTCTTTTCCCAGGAAAACCCCTCTCTTTTTCATGAGAAACCCCCTCTCTTTTTCCCGGGAAAACCCCTCTCTTTTCCCCCAGGAAAACCCCTTCTTTTTCCGGGAAAACCTCTCTTTTTCTCCTGGGAAAACCCCTTCTTTTCCTGGGGAAAACTCGTTCTTTTCCCAGGAAAACCCCTCTCTTTTTCCCGGGAAAACCCCTCTCTTTTTCCCGGGAAAACCCCTCTCTTTTTCCCGGGAAAACCCCTCTCTTTTTCCAGGAAAACCCCTTCTTTTCCCAGGAAAACCCCTCTCTTTTTCATGAGAAACCCCCTCTCTTTTTCCCGGGGAAAACCCCTCTCTTTTTCCCGGGAAAACCCCTCTCTTTTTCCCGGGAAAACCCCTCTCTTTTTCCAGGAAAACCCCTTCTTTTCCCAGGAAAACCCCTCTCTTTTTCATGAGAAACCCCCTCTCTTTTTCCCGGGGAAAACCCCTCTCTTTTTCCCGGGAAAACCCCTCTCTTTTTCCCGGGAAAACCCCTCTCTTTTTCCAGGAAAACCCCTTCTTTTCCCAGGAAAACCCCTCTCTTTTTCATGAGAAACCCCCTCTCTTTTTCCCGGGAAAACCCCCTCTCTTTTTCCCGGGAAAACCCCTCTCTTTTTCCCGGGAAAACCCCTCTCTTTTTCCCCTGGGAAAACCCCTCTCTTTTTCCCCTGGGAAAACCCCCTCTTTTTCCCGGGAAAACCCCCCCGGACGGACACACGGACGGACACACGGACGGACACACGGACGCCTCCCCCCAAGAGCAACGCGACACCGACAGACACGAGCAGCAGGGAGCGACAAAAAAAGCGGGAAGAGGGAAAAACGACAGCGAATCCGACGGATCCTCCCGGATCCGCCCCGCCTTTTCTTCCGTCGACCGCCGTTTGTCTTTTCCCGCCTTCCCTCCGTCACTCCGAGCCGGGATTGGCCCGGAGCTTGGCCTGATCCACGGAATCCAGAAGGTTCTTGGCGTCCACGGCCAGGGCGTGGGAAGCCGTCAGCATCTGCCGCTGGAATTCCGAGCGGAGGGAAGTGCCGGAATTCTGCTGCGCCAGCCGCATCTTCCCGATCAGGTTGGCCAGGTCCTTGTTCAGCAGCTTCTGGGTGCCCTCGATCTGCGGGAATTGGGTGTGGGTTTTTTTGGGCGGAATTTTTGGGATGGGGAAGGTGGAATTCCCCGCTCCCGGTGTCGTCGTTATTCCCGGATTTCCCGGATTTCCCACCTCGGTGCGGGAAGAGGGCGGGAGGTCGGGAAGGATCTCGTCGACGCTCCCGATGAGTTTCCGCAGGGAGAGGCCGATGTCCTGCGGGAAGGGAGGAAGGGTTGGGATGGATCCCGGGCTCGGATCCGGGTGGATTCCCGGTGGGAATGGTTGGGGAAGGATGAGGGGAGGATTCCAAGCGGGAGAGGGGAGGGAAATCCAAGGGAGGAGCCGGGAATTGGCTCAAGGACCCCAAGAAAAGCCGGGGATGCGGGAATTGCTCCCAGCACTGATCCAGGGATCCAGTGGAGGAGATGGAAAAGTGGGAATTGCTCCCAGAATTGCTCCCAGGATCCAGTGGAGGAGCCGGGAATGTGGGAATTGCTCCCACCATTGGTCCAAGGATCCAGTGGAGAAACCAGGAATTCCGGAATTTCTCCCACAGTTGGTCCCAGGATCCAATGGAGGAGCTGGAAAAGTGGGAATTTCTCCCACCATTGATTCCAGGATCCAATGGAGGAGCTGGAAATGTGGGAATTGCTCCCAGAATTGATCCCAGGATCCAAGGAAAAGCTGGAAAAGTGGGAATTGCTCCCACCATTGATCCAAGGATCCAGTGGAAAAACCAGGAATTCCGGAATTTCTCCCGCCATTGATCCAAGGATCCCAGGGAGGAGCCGGGAATTGGTTCAAAGATCCAAGGAAAAGCTGGGAATGTGGGAATTGCTCCCAGAATTGATCCAAGGATCCAATGGAAGAGCCGGGAATGCTGGGATTGTTCCCACCACTGATCCCAGGATCCAAGGAAAATCTGGAAAAGTGGGAATTGCTCCCACCATTGATCCAAGGATCCAGTGGAAAAACCAGGAATTCCGGAATTTCTCCCGCCATTGATCCAAGGATCCCAGGGAGGAGCCGGGAATTGGTTCAAGGATCCAAGGAAAAGCTGGAAAAGTGGGAATCTCTCCCGGAATTGATCCAAGGATCCAATGGAGGAGTCAGGAATTGATTCAAGGATCCAAGGAAAAGCTGGGAATGCGGGAATTTCTCCCACCACCGATCCCAGGATCCAAGGAGAAGCCGGGAATGCTGGGGTTCCTCCCACCCCCCCATCCCAAGATCCCAGGAAGGAGCTGGAAAAGCGGGAATTCCTCCCCCAGGCCGTTCCCCTTGGCAGGATCCCGAGCCCCCCGCCTCCCTCTCCCTGTTCCCGGGGAATTCCGGGATGATCCCGGGGCTACCTTGACCACCAGGATGTATCCGTCGGGAGGCACCAGGCCGATCTCGTTCTTCAGCCGCAGCACGGCCCGCACCAGATCCGTGACGTTCCCGTAAACCGGATCATCCCGGCGCTCCGGCTGCGCCGCGGGCTGGCCGGGAACGGGGACACGGCGGGATCAGACGGATCCCGGGAAATAAAAACAAACCGGGAATGGGCGACCCCGGGGGTTCCCGATCCTTGGGAAAGCTGGGATGGGGCTTGGAGCAGCCTGGGATCGGGGTTGGAATGGGATGGGATGGAAAGTCCATGGATCCCATCCCAAACCATCCCGGGATTCCGGGATCGAGGACACTCAGGATCCATCCCGAGGGATTTTTATGGGATTCAGGGATGGGAAAGGGAAGGGAGACCCTTCCTGGAGTCCTGAGATTCCCAGTGAAGCCCCTGGATCCCGAAATTCCTTCTCAAGGAGGAGTCGGGATGGGGCTGGATCCAATCCCGGGGCTGGGAGAGCCGGGAATGTGCAGCCGGATCAGGGAAGGATCCCGGGAATGCTGGGAGCCGCTTCCCGAGGCTCCAGGGGCTCCGGGAGAGCTGGGATTTGGGAAAGGGCCGCAGGGCCAGGAGCCAGGGAATGGCTTCCCACTGGGAAAGGGGAGCTGGGGCTGGGAGCTTGGGAAGGAATTCCCAGAGAATCCCTGGGATCAATCCCCGAGGAAAGGCCGGATCACCCTGGGATCGCGGGAGGTGTCCCGGGAACGATCTTTGAGGTCCCTTCCCACCCAAACCATTCCGGAATTTCTTTTGGGAAGCTTCAGGCTCTTCCCAGCCAGGATCCCGATCCCGCCGGGCCCCTCCGGAGCTGGGAAAAAGCGGGAAAAATTCCCATCCCGGTGGATTCCGGAGGCGGGAAAAGGAGGATCCCGGCTCTCACCTGAGCTCCGAGCCGCGGAGGTTTCTGGGGGGGCCCCGTGAATTGCGCTGGAGAGGAAGGGAAAAATCATCCCAAGGAAAAAGCGGGAATGCCGCGGAATCCCGGGATCCAACCTCCCCGCCCCATCCCGACCCCACGGGCAGGAAAAGCCGGGGATCCCGGGATTTCATTCCCGGGATTTCATTCCCGGCCAATTCCAAGCGGGAATTCCGAGGCGGGAACGACTCACTGTAATCCGTCTCCTTCTCCGGGAGCAGCTGGAAAAAAAGGGGGGGGAAAAAAAAATCGGGAATTGGAGGCGTCAAATCCGGGATGTTGGGAAGGATCCAATTCCCAACCAACCCCCCACCCCAACCGGGGATTTCCCGGTTTTCCGGAGGGTTTTCCCAAAGAATTGGGTAAATAAATAAATAAATAAAATAAATAAATAAATAAATAAAATAAAATAAAATAAAATAAAATTTTTTAAAAATTAATTAAACAAATAAATAAATATTTGGGATATTTTCCCGGAAAGAAAAAACCCAAAAAAACGGGAAAATGGGAAGGGATTTCCCGGCATCTCTGGGATCACTCACCGGAGGAATGTTGTTGGTCAGGAAAACCTTGGGATCCTGGAAAAGGGGGAAAAGGTGGAGTGAGGAAAATTTGGGGAAAAATTTTGGGGGGGGGGGGAAAAAATTGGGGAGGAAAAGGAGGAAAAATTGGGGAAAAAGAGGAAAAAGGGGAAGAAGAGGAGGGAAAAGGGGAAAAGGAGGGAAAAAGGGGAAAAATGAGGGAAAAGGGGAAAAAATGGAAAAAGGGGAAAAATGAGGGAAAAATAAGGAAAAATGAGGAAAAATGAAGGAAAAATGAGGAAAAATGAGGAAAAAATGAGGAAAAAACGAGAAAAAATGAGGGAAAAAATGAGGGAAAAACAAGGAAAAAAATGAGGGAAAATGAGGGGAAAAATAAGGAAAAAGTAAGGAAAAAAGAGGAAAAATGAGGAAAAAATGAGGGAAAAATTAAGGAAAAATGAGGAAAAACCTGGGGAAATAATGAGGGAAAACTGAGGGAAAACTGAGGAAAAAAATGAGGAAAAAAAAATGAGGGAAAAATGAGGAAAAAAGAGGAAAAAATGGATTTTCCTCATTTCTGTGAGAGCCACGGAACATTTCCCAGGAAAGGAGCAGCCCAAAATCCGGGAATGTGGGATGGGAAAGGGAATTCCACCCCAGGAACCCCAAATTTGCTTCCTGAAAATCCCAAAATACGAAAAAACAGAACTAAAATGTTTTAAAAGGGCCCAGAATTCCAAACATTCCTTTGGATCACGGAGCTGCTCCGGGTTTGGTGGGGGTGGGAAAGGTTTGGCTGCGGGAGGAGCCGGTTTTCCATGGAAAAGTGGGATGGAAAAGGCAGGAATGGTTCTTCCACCTCCTGCTTCCCACTGGGAAAGCCGGGATGGAATTCCCAGGGAAGTTGCGGCTGCCTCTGGATCCCCGGGAGTGTCCAAGGAAAGGCTGGAGCAGCCTGGGATCGGGGTTGGAATGGGATGGGATTGAAGGTCCATGGATCCCATCCCAAACCATCCCGGGATTCCGGGATCGAGGACGCTCAGGATCCATCCCGAGGGATTTTTATGGAATTCGGGGATGGGAAAGGGAAGGGAGACCCTTCCTGGAGTCCCGAGATTCCCAGCGAAGCCCCTGGATCCCGAAATTCCTTCTCCAGGAGGAGTCAGGATGGGGCTGGATCCAATCCCGGGGCTGGGAGAGCCGGGAATGTGCAGCCGGATCAGGGAAGGATCCCGGGAATGCTGGGAGCCGCTTCCCGAGGCTCCAGGGGCTCCGGGAGAGCTGGGATTTGGGAAAGGGCCGCAGGGCCAGGAGCCAGGGAATGGCTTCCCACTGGGAAAGGGGAGCTGGGGCTGGGAGCTTGGGAAGGAATTCCCGGAGAATCCCTGGGATCAATCCCCAAGGAAAGGCCGGATCACCCTGGGATTGGAATGGGATGGGATTGAAGGTCCATGAATCCCATCCCAAACCATTCTGGGATTCTGGGATCGAGGACTCTCAGGATCCACCCCGAGGGATTTTTATGGAATTCAGGGATGGGAAAGGGAAGGGAGACCCTTCCTGGAGTCCCGAGATTCCCAGCAAAGCCCCCGGATCCCGAAATTCCTTCCCGGCCAGGAGTCGGGATGGGGCTGGATCCAACCCCAGAGAGCCGGGAATGGAGGGAATTCCCTGGGAAAAAGGGTGAGGAATTCGGGAATCAATCTGGGAGAGGGCCGGGCTGGAATTCCCAAAGAATCCAAATAAAATCCGGAACCACCCGCGGAACCACCCGCCATCCGGACGGGCGGGGGGATGGGGCGGGAATCTTTTCCCAGCCCGGGGCTCTCCAGGGAGGGGCGAATCCCAAGGATTTGGGATTTTTGGGAATGACCCACCAGGCTCTGGACCTCCTGGCGCAGCCAGCGCTCGTCCTCCAGCATCTGGCGCTGCTGGCGCTCCATGGCGCGCTCCACCCGCAGCCGCTCCAGCTCCAGCAGCTCCTGCGCCTCCTCCCGGCTCCGCGGCCGCTGGAAATCCTCCTCCTGGAACGGCGGCAGGGACGGGGTCAGGGCCGGGAAAAAACGGGGGGAGAGGGGGGAAAAGAGAGGGGAAAGAGTGGGGAAAAACGGGGGAAAAGCGGGAAAGAATGGGGAAAAGAATGGGGGGAAAGAATGGGGAAAAGAATGGGGGAAAGTGGGGGAAAGAATGGGGAAAGAATGGGGGAAAAGTGGGAGAAGGATGGGGAAAAGGGGGAAAAAATGGGGGAAAGAATGGTGAAAGAATGGAAAAAAATGGGGAAAGGACGGGGAAAAGAATGGGAAAAGGGAAAAATGGGGAAAGAGTGGGGAAAGAATGGGAAAAGTGGGAAAAGAATGGGGAAAAGAATGGGGAAAAGAATGGGGAAAAGAATGGGGAAAAGAATGGGGAAAAGAATGGGGAAAAGAATGGGGAAAAGAATGGGGAAAAGAATGGGGAAAAGAATGGGGAAAAGAATGGGGAAAAGAATGGGGAAAAGAATGGGGAAAAGAATGGGGAAAAGAATGGGGAAAAGAATGGGGAAAAGAATGGGGAAAAGAATGGGGAAAAGAATGGGGAAAAGAATGGGGAAAAGAATGGGGAAAAGAATGGGGAAAAGAATGGGGAAAAGAATGGGGAAAAGAATGGGGAAAAGAATGGGGAAAAGAATGGGGAAAAGAATGGGGAAAAGAATGGGGAAAAGAATGGGGAAAAGAATGGGGAAAAGAATGGGGAAAAGAATGGGGAAAAGAATGGGGAAAAGAATGGGGAAAAGAATGGGGAAAAGAATGGGGAAAAGAATGGGGAAAAGAATGGGGAAAAGAATGGGGAAAAGAATGGGGAAAAGAATGGGGAAAAGAATGGGGAAAAGAATGGGGAAAAGAATGGGGAAAAGAATGGGGAAAAGAATGGGGAAAAGAATGGGGAAAAGAATGGGGAAAAGAATGGGGAAAAGAATGGGGAAAAGAATGGGGAAAAGAATGGGGAAAAGAATGGGGAAAAGAATGGGGAAAAGAATGGGGAAAAGAATGGGGAAAAGAATGGGGAAAAGAATGGGGAAAAGAATGGGGAAAAGAATGGGGAAAAGAATGGGGAAAAGAATGGGGAAAAGAATGGGGAAAAGAATGGGGAAAAGAATGGGGAAAAGAATGGGGAAAAGAATGGGGAAAAGAATGGGGAAAAGAATGGGGAAAAGAATGGGGAAAAGAATGGGGAAAAGAATGGGGAAAAGAATGGGGAAAAGAATGGGGAAAAGAATGGGGAAAAGAATGGGGAAAAGAATGGGGAAAAGAATGGGGAAAAGAATGGGGAAAAGAATGGGGAAAAGAATGGGGAAAAGAATGGGGAAAAGAATGGGGAAAAGAATGGGGAAAAGAATGGGGAAAAGAATGGGGAAAAGAATGGGGAAAAGAATGGGGAAAAGAATGGGGAAAAGAATGGGGAAAAGAATGGGGAAAAGAATGGGGAAAAGAATGGGGAAAAGAATGGGGAAAAGAATGGGGAAAAGAATGGGGAAAAGAATGGGGAAAAGAATGGGGAAAAGAATGGGGAAAAGAATGGGGAAAAGAATGGGGAAAAGAATGGGGAAAAGAATGGGGAAAAGTGGGAAAAGAATGGGGGAAAAATGGGGAAAAGGAATGGGGAGAGAATTGGAAAAAATGGGGAAAGAATGGGAAAAAATGGGAAAAGAATGGGAAAATAATGGGAAAAGAATGAGGAAAGAATGGGGAAAGAATGAGAAAAAATGAGGAAAACAATAGGAAAAGAATGGGAAAATAATGGGAAAAGAATGGGAAAAGGAGGGAAAAGGCGGGGAAAGAATGGGTGAAAATCAGGAAAAAATGGGAAAAGTGGGAAAAGAATGGGAAAATAATTGGGAAAGAATGGGGGAAAATGGGAAAAAATGGGAAAAATGACGAAAAGAATGGGGAAAGGGGAAAAATGGGAAATGGGGTTAGAGGAGAAAAACGGGGGGAAAAGGGGGGGAAAGGGGGATAAAGGAGAAAAAAGGAAAAAAAGGGGAGAAAAGGGAAAAGGGGGAAAAGGAGAAAATGGTGGGAAAAATGGGAAAAAAGGGGAAAGAGGGAAAAGGGGGAAAATTTGGGATAAAGGAGAAAAAAGGGAAAAAAAGGGGGAATAGAGGGAAAAAAGGGGAGAAAGGGGAAAAGTAGGAAAAGGAGACGGAAAGGGGGGAAAATGGGAGAAAATCCGGGAAAAAAAAGGTGGGAAAAACCAGGGAGAAAGAGGGGAAAAGGAGGGAAAAGGGATTTCCAGGAAGGAGAGGCAGCCACATTCCGACACCGCGGGAAAGCGACTCATCCCGACGGCACCGGCATTCCCGGAGCGACACCTCGGAGCATCCCAGCTCCCAGCCGGAATTTTGGGATGAAGACCCAGAGATGAGGATTTGGGAAAAATCCCCACCCGCCTCGGGAATTTCTGCCCAAAATTCCCCGGGAATCCCAGAGAATCTTGGAATTACGAGAAGAGGACAAACGGAGAGCGTCCCAAAGATCGACTTATCCATCGGGAACGGGATTTCTCGTGGATCCAAGCGGGAAGCAGCAGCGGGAAGCGACGGCGGGAAGCGGATCCGGAGGGGGATGGAAGGATCGGGAATTCCATGCGGGATCCCGGCGGGAATTCCGGGCTTACCCTCATGCTGCGGCGCTTGAAGGCGGTGTGGCGGCCGGGAGGAGGAGGAGAGCGCCGGGAATTTGCCGGAGCCTGGTACTCGGCGGGACTGGCGAGGGTGGGAGAGCTGGCGCAGAGCCCCTCCGGAACCTGGGAATTCGGGAATTGCGCGGGAGCGGCGGCGGCGAGAGGAGCCCACGGGGCGGGGGGAGGGGGGGAAAAAACCGGGAATTTAGCGCGGAGCGGGAAAAGCGGGAAAAGCGGGAATGGCGGCGGGGTCAGGTTCGTGGTGAACTTGGAATGTTTGGTTCTTTCCGAGAGCTCATCCCGAAAAATCGGGAGCGGTGGAGGGAGCTGGGAAAGCTCAGCCTGGAGGAATTCCCTCTGGAATTCCCTCTGGAATTCCCTCTGGAGTTCCCTGTGGAATTCCCTCTGGAGTTCCCTCTGGAATTCCCCTGTGGAGCCAGGTGGGATCGGGATTTGCTTCCCAGGAAAACGAGGGATGGGAACTCGAGTTCCATTCCGGCTGCTCCGGGGTTTATCGGGAATAATTCCCGCGTGGAAGACCCACGGATGGATCCCCGTTCCTGGATGGATTCAGCTCCACGCGGATTTCTTGGGAATGCCTTGGACTCCAGGGTCTCCAAGAGCTTTTCCAACCTCGAGGACTCCGGGATTCCCGGAGCGGTGACGCGGAGCCCATCCCAAAATCCACCACATTCCCAGGTTTTTCCGGCCCAAATTCCTGTGGGGAATTCCCAAATTTCTCCGGGGCCTCACCTGGAATTGCAGCTTGGGAGCCAGGAGATTATTCTGGGATGGCGGCTTGTACAGGGGCCTGCTGGGCTGCGGGAAAAGCGGGGAAAAAAAACAAAAAAAAACC